TACTATGTGCAAGGGACTAGGCTAGGGCCAGGAATACAGAACCAGTCTGCTAGCATTTATTAAGCACCTACTGTGTGCAAGGGACTAGGCTAGGGCCAAGGATACAGGACCAATCTACTCGCATTTACTAAGCACCTACTATGTGCTAGGGACTGGGCTTGGATCAGAGATACAAAACCAATCCACTAGCATTTATTACCTACTGTGTGCAAGGGACTGGGTTAGGGCCAAGGATATGAGTACCTTTCTTCCTGATTACAAAAGAGCTTACCTGTGGCAGAGTATGCTCTTAATGGAAAGCAAGTGATGGACTTGAGTTAGGAGAAATCTGGATTTGACTTCAGATCCCAGCCCTTGTACTTCCTGCTAATGGGCCTTGGTTTTCTCATCTATAAAATGGAGCTGATGATACTCATGCTGCCTACCTCACAGAGTTATTTTCAGGAAAAAGCATTCCCTAAGCCTTAAAGTGTCAGAAAAACGTGAATGCTTATTATCCCAGGTATGTTACTGGACCTGAGTTGTGGAATCATAAAATCATAAATTAGAGGCAGAAACCTTAGGAATCATCAAGTCCAATTGCCTTACGTTACAGATGAGGTTCTTGAGGCTCAGAAAGAGGCTTAGGATCATAGAATTAGAGCTGGGATGCTCTAGACAAACCCTCTCATTTTACAGATAGGAAACTGAGGGAGGCTCAGGGAGTGATTGAAGACCCCCCCCATCCCCACCCCCTACTCCACTGCCTTTACCAGAAAACAAGGAGGGAAAAAGAGTTGACCAGTTGTCTGGAAGAAATCATTTCAAAGGTTAGAGGCTGAAGCCAGCATACCCCAAGATCTGCAGAAAAAGGGAGTAGAGGCAGCTGGGTCTCCTAATCCCAACATTTCCATTAAATTACGAAAAGCAATCATGGCATTGACCTTTTGAAATAGTCCTCTGAATATTAAACATAAAAAGATAGTGGGAGAGTGACTTATCCGGGGAGCAATCATCTGTTGAATATTTTTTTTTGATGAGGCAATTGGGGTTAAGTGACTTGCCCAGGGTCACATAGCTAGTAAGTGTTAAGTGTCTGAGGCCAGATTTGAACTCAGGAAGAGAAGTCTTCTGGACTGCAGGCCCAGCACTCCATCCACTATGTCACTTAGCTTCCTCTATATAAATGTTAGTTATTATTAATTATCATCATCATCATCATTATTATTAATTAACCATTGAAAAATTCTAAAAGTCCTTAATGTAGGTTATGCAAAGAATATACAACACATTACTTCAGGCTTCAAAGGTGACTCAGTGGATAGAGTGCTGGACTTGGAGTCAGGAAGACCTGAGTTCAAAGTCTGTGTGACCCTGGGCAAGTCACGTTGCCCTTTATCTCTCTGTTTCCTCATCTGTAAAATGGAGCTAATAATATTTTCTACCTCCCAGTATCAAATGAGACAATATAATATTTTAGGTAATAAGACATGACCTGGTAGCTAGAATTATACATCAGAAACTCACTGTCTTCCATAAGATAATAAAATACAAATCACAAATATGACCATTATCACTGACAGCACTATGCCTTTGACCACATAAATATAGATAACGTTAATCTGTGACGTTATTGTTGTTAATGATGGGCAGCTAGGTGGCGCCATAGTGCATAGAGCGCTAGACCTGGAGTCTGGAAGACTCATCTTCCTGAGTTCAAATCTGGCCTCAGACACTTACTCGCTGGGTGACCCTGGAGAAGTCTTCTCTTTAGCCGGGAGCCCATGTGTGGGTGAAATCCCTGCTCCAAGGGCTCAGAAGCATCCCTTCTTTATATAGGCTGCCCTGGAGCCTTGTGTTCAGGTCTGAATATTCTTATTTTTATGAAAGACATCATTAAGTTAGAGTGTCCAAGGAGGGAGGCTCCCAGCATGGTTCTCTCTGTGTGAGGATGGGTTGGAGGAACCAAGTCTGGGGAAGAGAGTGTTTGGAGGTGGAGTTTGGCCCCAGAAGGCAGAAACAATGGGCAATTTTGGTTTGATAAAAGGAAAACTTCCATATGGTTAGAGGTAGCCCTAAATGGAATGAGGATGTGGTCCCTCCCTGAAGGTGTTAGCAAGTAGTGATTCCTCTTCCCTCAAGATTGGATTAGTAGAGAGTCAGGTCTGTGGCTTAGACTATATAATCTCTGAGATATCATCTCCTACTCAGAGATTCTGTGATGCTGTTTCCACTCCTTGGGCTGGGCCTGAGTATCTGGGATCCAGCAATGAGCAGACCCTGCTGGGCTTTGGAGGGGCTAATCTAGCCTGATTTACCTGCAGGTTATCCAGGTTTCCAAGCTGCAACCTACGCCAGCCGGAGTTACACAGGCATTGCACCTGGCTATACCTACCAGTTCCCTGGTAAGTCCCACTTGGCAACCCTTCTGCCCTCTACCAGCATGTCCAAGCTGCCTTGCTCAGGTTAACTCCCCCTCCATCCCCCAGGGTAGGGTGGCTTGGATGGATTATAAGGGGTGCATGGTTTGGGGACCTACTTGTTGGGGACTTGATAGGAAGAGTATGTCTGAGGAAGGACACCCCTATCTTCTATCTGGGGAAGAAAGTCCCTTGGGTTGGGATGCTAGGGGTGGTGGTGACCCTGCATGGTGCCCCTGCATCCCGGTCTTATGTATTCAGGGTTGCCGCCTCCCCCAAAGCAGGACATTGGACCCAGAGCTGGAATATATTTTTAACAAAAAATTTGTAAACTCAACTTCACCATTCATCTCCTTTGGTGCCCTTCCCCCAAGATGGAGGGGACAGTAACTATTCATTCCTGAGCTGTTGGCTCTAGACATACTCAGTTGATTCTTCCTTCACTGAAGGCCAGTGAGATCCTCAGCTTAGGGCATTGAAATCTATCCTGTGTCCTGGGGGCAGATGGCAACTCTGTGCTCATCTCTGGTTTTCTCAGTCTCTTTCCTTCTCCCTTGCCTGCCTCAGGGCAGTCCTCCCCTGCCTAGGCTTCTGGACACTGTGCATGGACTGGTCTTGCTGTTGTGAATGTCCTTGTGTGTGTCTCTGCCGGGCCCTGCCCCAACGACCGCTCCACCTTCCTAAGTTGTTTTGTACATTTCCTTTTAGAATTCCGTGTAGAGCGGACCCCTCTCCCGAGCGCCCCCGTCCTCCCTGAGCTCACAGGTCAGTCCCTTGGATTTCCTACACCTCACAGGCTGGATGGGGAGAGAGAAAGGAACCCAGGGACCATTCCGGGGGCAGTGAGACTGGCCTTATCTACTTGACCCAATAGTATCTGAGTGGGGAAGAGCACTCTCCTCCCCCACTCCACTCCCACCTCTAGTATAACAGATGCTACCCAGAAGCAAAGAGAACAGATAGTTCCCAAAAGTGGGACAGCCTGTGGAAGGCACCCAACTTTTCTCCAAGGAAAAACATTGGACTTACTAGATGCAGATCCTAACATTGTAGGGATAGGGTCAGTCCCTTTTGGAGAGGACAGATAATGGGAACTTTAGATTTTTAAATCCCATTATTCCACCTTGAGCACTGTAAGCAGAAAACCTTGGGACTTTATCCCTAGTCTAGAGATCTGGGAGGTAAGGAGAGCCAGGAAGGGGTGTGTATGTGTGTGTGTGTGTGTGTGTGTGTATGTCCAGGGCTAGATAGAATTCAAGTGACTTCCCTGCTCAATCTATGTCCCTACCCACCCTCTTACCCCACAAAGCTCTAGGCCCCTAGACCCTGGCCCTGTGTGAAGCTTGTACGTGTGGCTGCTACTTTGAGATGAGACCTTTCTTCCACAGCTGGATTCCTCCAGGCTTTGGGGTGGGCAGGGTGCCTGAGCAAGTAGTATTTAAAAAAGGTGGATGGTGAGGGGGAAAGAGAGAAGTATGAAGGTGAGGAATGAGGAGTCAGAGGAACCAGGTGAACAGAATCTTCCCTTTCTAGAACCAGAACACAGCCCGGTTTGGGTTGGCAGTAAACCATAGAGTGGTCTGGTTGTGGTCTTTGGTGGTATTCCCTGCTTTTCCGTCACAGGGAAGGCATAATGGTAGTTTGTTGAAAGAAGTCATTGTCATTTCAAGGGACTGTCTCCTAAGCCACTGATTTTTCAGATGGTGTTCTACAAAGAAATTACAGCTGGTGTTTTTACCCATTCCCTTCCCCACCAACCAAAAAAAAAAAAAAAAAGAAGAAGAAGATCCTTGAGAAGACACCAGTAACTTTTGACCCATAATGTCTGCCTTCTCATCTTTAGAAAAATCCTGTGGTCTATGCTGACATGTAGGAGGCATCCTTGATGAAAACATGAGTCAGGGACAGACAAGTTTTCACAGGTGATTTCCTTCCAAAGACTACATCCTTTTTTTTTTTTTTTTTTTTTTTGGCTAGGCAGTGGAGTTAAGTGACTTGCCCACGGTCACACAGCTAGTAAGTGTCAAGTGTCTGAGGCCATATTTGAACTCAGGGCCTCCTGACTCCAGGGCCGGTGCTCTATCCACTGTGCCACCTAGCTGCCCCCAAAGACCACATCTTTAAAATCGTATGATTGACCAAAAGATGTAGAAAGCAAGATCCCTCGTGTCATTTATTTTTGTGATGGAATTTCAATAGTGTAGGAAACTCAACTGATGCAAATTAGCAACTGCTGTATAATTGATAGTCTTCGAGAGTACACCCTCTGAGGCTAAACAATTTACTGAGGGTCACATAGCCAGTCCGGGTCAGGGGTGGAACCTGAACCCAGGTCTTCATGATTCTGAGGCACTCCTAATCCACATGGCCACATTACTGCTCACACTGTCTATTGTTTATTGGTTTTTAAAGAAGGATTTAACTCACTAGAACAAAATGTAGTCCCCCAAGTGCTCTTCAGGCAACATTCCTCCCAAAATATAGCAAAATCTGGGGTAGCTAGGTGGCGCAGTAGATAGAGCACCAACCCTGGATTCAGGAGGACCTGAGTTCAAATTCGGCCTCAGATGCATAACGCTTACTAACTGTGTGACCCTGGGCAAGTCACTTAACCTCATTGCTTAACCAAAAAATTTAAAAAAAAAAGGTTAACCAAAAATATAGCAAAATCATGCAAGATCTAAGACAGATGCAACTATGAAATTAACTTTGTTCCTTAACCCACTGGGTATTAACATCAGTCAAGGCATAAAACAGAGATATGGCCACCTAAAGTGTTTACCAGTGTCATGGAAGATGTCCTGCACAGAGCCCAGATGAAATCCTTATTCCCTAAGACTCTAAGGGCATCTAGGTGGCAAAGTGGACAGAGCACTAGCCTTGTAGTCAGAAAGACTCATCTTCCTATCTAGCTAGGTGACCCTGGGCAAATCACTTGACCCTCTTTGCCTCAGTTTCCTCATCTGTAAAATGAGCTGGAGAAGGAAATGGCAAACTACTGTAGTATCTCTGTCAAGAAAACCCCAAATGGGGTCATGAAGAGTTGGTCACAACTGAAAAATGACTGAACAGGAAAAAAAAGACAGTAAATACTTTTATTTTCAGTTGACACTGTACTAATTGTGTGGAGCCACCGAACCGTACAAATGGATGAAATTCATGGCAGTGCGAAAGAGATTGATCTAGCCATCCACGTGGGAAAAACAAAGTAGAAGAAAAACTTTTTTTTTTCCTTGTGCAGGTGTGCAAGTGAATGGGCAGTCCCTTAAACCTTAGTCCATCAACCTGAATGATAAGGACAGGCACTTTGAGAGGGACAGTGAGTTGAGAGCCCAAATATGATTAGGAGGAAGGTTAGATTAAATCACTTTGGGGAAACTGCATGGTATTTTCATTGGTCCTCAGCTTCTCACTGCTGCAAAAGCCTGTCTCTTTAACACTCTTATTCTGATGCTGAAGTACTGTCTAGCTCTAAATCTGATCCATGAGTCAAAATTACAGGTCACCCAAAGTGCTTTGGGAAAACACACGGTTGCTATAATTAGGCAGCAGGGAGTGAGCCATGAAGACTAGCTCATAGGAAGGTACTGTAAAAGAGATCCTCGCTCTCATGGAAGACATATGCTATTGGAAAAAGGAAGTTGGCCAGGTAAATGTCTAATTCAATTCAGCAGACATTTATTGAATGTTCACTATGTACAAGACCCGAGGGGACGTGCTGCAGTTACAAAGACAGGAGAAGACAAGGGATGGATCATTTGGTTAGTATTCTAGTGCCTCCAAGCTATTGGAAGAACCAAAAGAAGACAGGATGGAGGATTTGTAGAAAGACCAGAAAGAACATCCCATAAGATGAGAAGGCACGAAAGAGAAAGTGACTTGTGTTACAAAAGAATGAATGAACACCCACACTAAGCAAGCTCAACCAAGCCCCAGGGTTGGTACAGCACCATCCTCAGAGCCTAAACTGGCTGGGTTTGAAAAAGCTTGCAGGAGAGTATGCCTGGAACCAGAGGCCACTGGCCTGAGTATTGGGCTTTGTCATATAGCATCAGTCAGTCAGTGAGTTAACAAGCATTGGTTAAGTGCTTACTATGTGCCCAGGAGTAAATAAGTGAATGCTAAACACTTGAGATACAAAGAAAGGCCAAAAAATTTTCCCTCCCCTCAAGGAGTTTGAGGTCTAAAGGGGGAGACGACATGAAAACAACCACCTGTGTAAAGGATCTGTACGGAGGAGATAGAAGGGGAACGCAGCTGAGGAATCTGGAAGGGCCTGTAGGAGGTGAGATTTGAGCTGAGTCTTGCCAGAAGCCAAGGAAGCTAAGGGGCGAAGGTGAGGAGAGCAAGAATCCCAGACATGGGAGATAGTCAGTGAATGCCAAGGCAAAGAAATGGAAAATGGGAGTGTCCTAATCAAGGAACAGAGAATGGATGGAAGGTGGATAGGAGAACAGGTAAAAGGAAGGTAGAATGCAAAACCCGGAAAGGTCGGAGGGGGCCAAGTTAGAGAGCTTTACATGCCAGTCAGAGGAGTTACATTTCAACTGGAGATAATAGGGAGCTAGAGGTGGGTCTTGAGGAAGGGTGTAAACTGTGTTTGGAAAAAATCACCTTGGAAGCTGAGTGGAGAATGGATTGAAGTGGGGAGAGACTGCAGGGAGGAGAGACTGCAGGGAGGAGAGACTGCAGGGAGGAGACCTAGCAAAAGACTTGACTAGTCCAGGTGAAAGAAGATTAGTGCCTAAACCAAGGTGGTGGCTGTGTGAGTAGAGCAATGAGGTATAGAAGAGACGTTATGAAAGCAGAAATTACAAGATGTGACAGTATATTGGATATGTGGCAGGTAGGTGGCATCGTGGATAGAGGAATGGACTGAGGAGTCGGGATAATCTGAGTTCAAATTTTGCCTGAGATACTAGCTGTGTGGCGTGACTAGTGGCCCTGGGAAAGTCACTTAACTTCTATTTGCCTCAGTTTCCTCCTCAGTAAAATGGGGATAATAATAGCACCTACATTCCAGGGTAGTTGTGAGAAGCAAATGAGATAATGTACTCTGCATACTATATGCAAATATGTAATGTATGTGTATTTGTACTTTGCATACTACATGCAAATTATATGCAGAGTTATAGAAATGCAAGCTATTATTTTATTATTATATTCGGGGTGAATGAGACTGAGAAATCAAGGTTGACATTGAAGTTGTGGGCCTGGGGTAACTGAGAGAGGGGGGAACCTTCAACAGTATTGGAGAATTTCAGGAGAAGGGAGAGTTTTCAGGGAAAGACAGTGAATTCAGAGGTGGAGGGGCTTCCGGGACACCCTGCCCGAGATGTTCAGAAGACAGTTGGTGACTTGTGTCTGTTGCTCAGGAAAGAGGCTAGGGGTGAATACAGAGCTCTGGGAATCATCACCCTTGAGCTGATAATTGAATCCACGGGAGCTCATCAGACTACCAAGTGAAGAAATCCAGAGAGAGAAGAGATCCCAGGACAGGGCAGGGGTAACCTCTGCCTGCCTCCATGACCTTGGGGGAAGAAGCAGCAAAGGGGACTGAGAAAGAGCTTCAGTTCAACTAACGGGAAAAGAAACAGGAGAAAGCAGAATCACCGGAACCTAGGGAGGAGACAGTATCGCGGAAAAGGTGATCCCACCTCGTCATCAAAGGCTTCACAGGAGAGAAGGAGGAGGATGGAGAAAAGGTCTTTTGTTTTGTCGATAAAGAGGTCCATAGTAACTGGGGAGAGGGTAGTTGTAGTTGAACAATGAGGCCAGTAGCCAAACCACAAAGGGTTTGGAAGGGATTGAGAGGGGCCACAGCTAGGTGGCACAATGGATAGAACACACCAGCCTTGTAGTTAGGAGGATCTGAGTTCAAACCTAGCCTCAGACATTTACTAGCTCTGTGACCCTGGGCAAGTCACTTAACCCCGATTGCCTTTAAAAAAAAAAAAGAATGAGAGAGGAAGTGAAGGCACAAATCGAGGGTTAGATGGCTTTCTCCAAGAGTTTAGGCACAGAAAGGAGGAGAGATAGATGACAGTAGCTGGCACTGATCAAATTGAGGGTTTTCTAAGGATGGGAAGATGTGGGTAGGTTTGTAGGCGACAGGAAAGAGACAGGAAGACCTGGGTTTGAACCCCATCTCTGACACTCCTAGGGACTTGAGCGGTCATTGAGGCAGGGGATAGATAGAGCACTGGACCTCCCTGTCTCAGAAAGACTCCTGAGTTCAAATTGTACTGCAGATACTAGCTATGTGACCCTGGGGAAGCCACTTGTAGCTGCTGTCTGCCTCAGTTTCCTCATCTGTAAAATGGGGGTCATCATAGGTACTTGTAATGCCCGCGTCAGAGTCGAAGTCAGAGCATTTAGGGTTAGAATCGGAGGGTTGCTGTGAGGCTCCAATGAGGCAGATGTATAATCGTCTGTACGCGTGCCAGTTATTATTAGAAGTGGCAGCTGGGACTGGAAGAGGCACACAGTTGTACCACGCCCTGCCGAGGATGTACCCCATTCAGCATGGGAGTATCATTGCCGTGACAGCTCATGCAGTGTGGTATGGTTAGAAGCTGCAGTGGGCAGGCTTGGGCAGTAGAGGGTGCCCGTGCCTCAGTCAAGGTTGGGTAGCCCCCAGGCTCAAGCCAAGAGGTGGCTTTTCTCTTAGCATCCTAGGTCCAGAGCTGGGACAGAGGTTTCACACACACACACACACACACACACACTCACTCATTTTACAGATGAGGAAACTGAGGCTCAGAAAGCTTCAGTGACTTGCGCGTGGTCCCACATGTAGTAAGTGGAAGAGTGAACCTGGTTCCTGTGACCCCAGATCCAAATGGTGCAGAATCAAATGAGATAACATTTGTAAAAAATACTTAGCACAGTGCCTGGACGTACTAGGTGCTATGTAAATACGTATTTCCCTTCCCCCCTGCACCATGTTATTCCCAGAGGAAAAATTAAAATCCAAGGTTCAAACCATTCATCCAAAATCTATTTATATAATTTATCTATTATTAATATTTATATTAATTATTTTATTCATTTATTTACATTTATCTATTATTATTATGTTTATAGAACACCTACTGTGTGTAAGGCATCATGCCCCGCCCTGCACCGAATACAGAAAAGTTCCAAATATTTCTCAGTTGGGCAGGGGTCAGACTAGAGTGACAGTGCTAAGGCCAGGATGACCATTAAAAAGAATCCAGCACAACGGCCCTCACTTATGGACAAGGAAACTGAGTCCCAGGGAGGTGGTGACTTGCCCAGGTACCCACAGGTAGCAAGTCACAGAGTGTGGGATCAGAACCCACACCCTCTCACTCCAAATCCAATGTTCTTTCCACTGTACCCTGCTGTCTTCCCTAATGACCTCCTAGGCCCCTTCCAGCTCAGAGTGTCTTTGAATTAAAAGACACAGGCCTGCCCTTGAGCAGCTTACAGTCTAGTTAAGCCCATGGAAAACCATTAGGGCAGGACTCAATATACGCAGCATAGGAATCATACAGTACCATGGGAGTTATAGGGGAGCACTGGAAGAGAATAAGCATTTATTAAGCACTTACTGTATACCAGGTTACTGTGCTGAATACTTCACAAATGTCATCTCATTTGATCCTCACAACAACCCTAGGAGGTAGGTGATGTTATTATCCCCATTTTATAGTTGAGGAAACTGAGGCCAACGGGTGGTTAAGTGACTTGTCCAGGATCACACAGCTAGTAAGTATCCGAGACAGAAATTTGAACTCAGCTCTTCCTGACTCTATCTGCTGCACCACTTAGCTACTGTAGAGGAAGGGGAGAGAGATCACTGTGGGGTAGGTGACTAGGGCAGGCTTCTTGGAGATGGTGAGATTTCAGCTGGGTAGGACCAGTAAAAGATGCAGTAGAGGGACCACCTGCCTTCAGCCCCTCTTTAGCGGCTACATTGACACCTCTTCCCCACTCTGAAAGAAAGATAGAGACTCCTCTCTGGGCACAGAGATGGCCTCAGGCCCGTTTTTCCATATGCCCCCTTCAAGTGCCGACTGTGGGGATTCTCTCTTTCCCTCCACCATCTGTCTGCTCCTTCCATTTCTGCTCTTCCCCAGGGAAGGCCTGGGCAGCTGCCCAAGACCCTGCCAGGGCGGGGCCTACGTTCCATGGGTCTGTGGAGGGGTGATGTTCTGTGGAAGAAGAACGGTCTGAGGGACCAGTGTCTTTTCTTTCAGCTATCCCACTCACCGCTTACGGACCGATGGCCGCAGCAGCTGCAGCAGCCGCTGTTGTCCGAGGGACAGGTGAGACCAACTTTGGGTGTAGGGGATGAATGAATGAAGCATGTATTAAGCGCTTACTGTATGCACTGTGCTAAGTGCTAGGGATACAAAAAGGAAAAAAGAGAGGTGTAGTCCTCTCTTGGGGAGGTGGGGAGGTGTTTTCCTTCCCACTCTTGGGGAGCACAGAGGCATTAACCCTATTGACTTGCTCTGGGTTGGGTCTGGGGCCCACCTCTCCTCTGGGAGAAGTGGGCAGTGGGGAGTGTGGGCGGTGGGTGGGCAGGCATGGTGTATTGAGGAAGGGGCTAGCCTGTTGGGCTCTTTTCTCTGGGTTGCCAGGATCTCACCCCTGGGCGCTGGCTCCCCCTCCAGGTTCGACACCAAGCCGTACGGGGGGCTTCCTGGGCACCACGAGCCCTGGCCCGATGGCCGAGCTCTATGGGGCGGCCAACCAGGATTCTGGGGTCAGCAGTTACATCAGTGCCGCCAGCCCTGCCCCCAGCACTGGCTTTGGCCACAGCCTTGGGGTGAGTAGTCTGACGTGGGATCTAGTTTCCCATAATGTTATTGGGGGCTCTGGGGAGTGGGACCCCACTTGAATTGAAGGGAAAAGGGGGAACCCCATGGTCAAGAAGGGAAAGGGCTGGAAATTCGATAAGGTTAGGTCGTGCTCTTTGGGGTAGGCAATACCTTTGATACCCTATTGGTTGTGTTGATTTGTTTTTGCTTGTTACTTATTATAAGGGTGGGAGGGAGGGGAGTCTTTGGGAAGGTATATAGAGTACAAAAAAGACAGTAATGAAACATTTCCCCTCCATTCCTTCTAAAAAAAGAAGAAAAAAGAAATGAATCATTAATGATCACAGGAAAGAGGGCATCCTGAAATTCTTATCTAACTTTCTCAGTCTGTTGAATTTGGGATTTTGGATTCCTATTTTAGGGTCCCTTGATTGCAACAGCGTTCACCAATGGGTACCACTGAGTCAGGGGATCAAGGAGGCAGGAGGTAAGAAGCCTGTGAAGGGACATGGAGCCGGGGAGGGGGGTCAGGGCAAAGGAATGGGGCCTGGAAAAGGAGCAGGGGGAGGTCTGGAATCAGGATGTCAGAATTTGAAGGGCCCAGAGATGTGGAGAGTGTCACGCATGCTTCACGGTATCTCTTTCTAATATTTCTCCATCCACCTTGAAGTTATTGATTCCTGTTCAGAGGATGTTTGGGGGGGAGGGGGCTGAAAATGGGGAGGATGGTGGAATGCAAAGACCTTTGGATCTTGAACCAGAGTAGTTTCTGATCACAAGAGCATCCAATGGGAGCTGGCAGGAAACCCAAAGTTCATTTTACAGAGGAGAAAGCTGAGGCAGACAGTGCTCAGAGTCACATGGCTGGTAAATGAGGCAAGATTTGAACTCGGGTCTTCCTGACTCCCAAGTTGCTGAGCCACCTAGCTATGTGTGTCCATGAGCAAGTGACCTCCCATCTGGGCTTTTGTTCCCTTCTCTGTGAAAGAGAGTCCTTTCAACTCTCAGAGATCATAGTGCCCTAGGGGATAGAGGGCTGGTCTTGGAGCCAGGGTTCTAATCCTGGCTGAGATTAGCTGTTTGGAGTCACTTCTCTGAGCCTCAGTTTCCTTATCTGTCAAATGGAGACAATAAAACCTTGTCTCCTAGGGTTGAGGCTCGGGTGATCTTATATATGTGAAGCCTTTTTCGAGACTTCAAATCACTAGATCAATGATGGTTATTATTATCTGGGGCACAACCCAGCACTTTTATTTTACAGATTAAAAAAAGGAAAAATTATGGATCAGGGGGAATTGGTTTGCTCAAGGTCCTACAAGCTAGTCATTGCCAGAATAGGGAGTACAACTGAAGGCTGCTTGTGGGGAAAGATTGGAGGGTTGGAGGATAAAAATGTGGGGGGAAAAAAAGAGAAAGGTGTGGATCATCTCAGAGCCATAACTGGTCATTCTGACACCAGAGGCAGAGAACACCATTCAGCATTATAATTCATGGTGTGAAAATAACACCAGAAGTAATTAAGATAAATTTAGTTGCCCCGGAGGTATTATGTTCCTGTAGTGATTTCTAGGCTTTACACCTGATAAATTTCAGTACTCTGGGACAGAGGCCCACTACCCTGCCCTAGTTATGGCTCTGGATAGTCTAGGACCTGGAATTCAGGGGTTACAAAGAACAGGCTAAGAAACTGGTTGCTATTCAAGAAAGGAGAGTAGGAAAAGCCTGTGGGTTGGAGAGACACCATTGAGGAGCTGGGGTGTAACTGGCTCTGCTTTCCACACTCTCTTGTTGAAATCCCCCAGAGCCCTCATCGGCAGCTGCCTGAGGACAGTGAGCTCGGACCTGCCCAGCCAAAGGGGAAAGGGGAAGGAGGCTCGGCCCACCACCCTCGTCCCCTCGCCAAGCTGCACACTGCCTGCAGGCTGCCGGGCTCCCCGCCTGCCCCACCCCCCTCCCCCCTCCCCCCTCCCCCCTCCCCCTCTGCCTCCCAGCCTACCCCAGTGACATCATCTCACTGCCCTTACTAACCTCCCCCCCTCCCTTTGCCACCCCCATACCCTTCCCTCGGCTTCTATTTATTTTGGAGTAGATGGTAGCCTCCTGGTTTTCTCCCATTGGGTTTGTGCCCCTTCCCTTCCCGTCTCTTCGCCCTATCCTGTAGGTCTCCTGAAATGGCTCATGTGCTTGTGTTTAGCTAGGATGATGGCGGGGAGATGTGCGGGGACCCATGCCTCCCATCCCCCCACCTTTGTTTTATTGTTTTGTTTTTTAATTCTGATCTCTTTCTTTCCTTTTTTTCTTTTTCCTTTTTTTTTTGACCAAAAAAAAAAAGAGAGAGAGAGAGAGAGGAAGAGAGAGAGAGAGAGAAACATTTTTAAATTGTTTCTTGGTTTGTGAATGTGAAGCTCCGGGCTGCAGGGTGGGGGGCCAAGGGGGCCCACACCGACGAGAGAACAAGTGTATATTTTGGTCTGTGGCAGCCCAGGCTCTGGCCGAGCAGGGCTGGGCTGTGGGGTCAGGTGAAGCCCTGGAGATGTCTGTCTCCTGTATGATATTGTAAATACTATGAGGTGAAGCCCCCCCGCCCCTCTCCGTATTCCTTGCCAGGGTCGGGGAGGGGCCTCACCTCACCCCACTCAGCGGGCCCCTCTGTGAACCCCCTCCCCACATGGTTACTGTAAGATTTTTGTTAGGGCCTCCACTTGGACGGGGAAAGGAAGGTACCCTCTCTCTCACCCTGGAGCTCAGGGGGAGTCCTATGGGCTACCCATCCCCCACCCCTGCCCCAAGCCCCAACTTTGGATGGAAGGGAGGGGGGGCTTCCCACCTTGCCACATTTGAAAGGAATTAACTCTCCAAAGGGCCTTCTCCCACCCCTAACCCCTCAATAGGCTGGACCCTCATGTTTCCTGCCCTGGGCTCACTGTGGGGAGGTGGGTGTTGGAAGGGGTATGGGTGGGTGACTCCAGGGGCAAGCAAAGGGCTTCTCAGGGATCCCCCACATTCTTTCACAGCAGCCTCCCACCTGGACAGGCCACATGGCCATTCTCCCCAAGGTCATGGTCGGAGCCCCTTGGCAGCCCCGTGGGCCTTCCCCACCCCCCCAACTCCCTCTCTGCCCTGGTGCCCTCTCCAGCACCTCAACCAGGGAGAGAGAGTGGATTTAGGGTCTAGATTTCTGTGAACCAAAGACCTGACTGGGGTGTGAGGATGGAGGCTTAACTGTTGCTTTCTCCCCCACCTCAACTCCCACCCCAGGGAGGCTGGCCAGGTCCAAGGCTAGGGGGTGTCCCACGTGCCCCTACCCCCCAGCATCCCCCAACTACCTTTGGAGAGTTAATTATCAGTGTGAGGTGCTTAACCTGTTAGTGCTGAGAACACAAAGCAATAATCTTTGTTACTGAGACGCGCGGCTGTATGTCTTTTTTTTAAAAAAAAAATATTTCCTAATAAAAGAGAAGCTACATTTTATTGGTTTTTATTTTTGATTTTCTACACGTCTGAGGGGAGCCCCTAAGTGGTTCTACCTCCCCCCTCCCCATCCTTCCCCACCCCCACCCTCTTTGTTCCCCTCTCCTCCTTAGGGCTTGGGGCTGGGGCCGGAACTCTATTCTATGACTCATTCCTGGTTTTTTTAAAGATGTTAAGTGGTGTTTTGAAACCAGTAAATTTACCACTCTCTGGTATCTGTTCTCTCCACATCTGTAACCCTCTTTCCAAGATCTTTCAGTTTTAAATTCCTAATAAATTATTTGAAAATGGTGCTGGTCTGTGGTTGTGATTCTTCTGTGTGACTTGAATTGAGAGGGGTTCCTCAGGGACCACCTACTCTTTCTCGCTCTATCTCCTTAAGGAACTTGCCTTGAATACAGAGAGGACCCAAAAGGCTTAGGGTTGAGAATCACTCTCTGATGCTAGCAGAACTGTGTTCATTCAGGAAGCTGTTTTTTTTTTTTTCTTTTTGATGAGGCAATCAGGGTTAAGTGACTTGCCCAGGGTCATGCAGCTAATAAGTGTGAAGTGTCTGAGGTCAGATTTGAACTCAGGTCGTCCTGACTCCTAAGCTGGAGCTCTATCCACTGTACCACCTAGCTGCCCCTATAATTTTGGCTGTCATTTGCTTTTTTTTTTTTTACTGAGGCAATCAGGGTTAAGTGACTTGCCCAGAGTCACATAACTAGTGAGTGTTATATGTCTGAGGCCAGATTTGAATTCAGGTCCTCCTGACTCCAGGGCCAGTGCTCTGTCTACTTAGCTGCCCCAGAAAGCTTCTTGACAGAGAGCAGTCCTCATTCAGCCATTCATTCATTCACCAAGCATTTATTAAGCACCTGCTGTATACCTTTTGCTGTATAGGAGAAGAAACTGAGGCAGGCCCAGAGAGTTTAAGTAACTTGCCTACAGTCATACTGGTAGTGTCCAAGGTGGGGTTTTGGACCCTAACTCCAAATTCAATGCCCTGCCCATTACACCACACTGAAAACAAAAGTCCCTCCTCTCAATACATCTTTGTTGACTCAACTCAGGGAGTTCACATGTGATGGGTATCATGATTGAAATTTAAGGTAAACTGAGGCACAAGGCTCTGAGCACATTCAATTTATCGGTAAGGCTGGCAGTTATCAATAAGAGGGGTCTTTAGACCCTAAATGAGAGTTGATAGATTATTTTATGGACAATAAGAAAAGCACCCCAAAACTGGAAGGCAGCATCAGAGATGGGGAAAATACATAATTGGTTCCAAAGTCAGAAGCCTCTTAGTGTGGAGAACAATATGATTGGCTAGAAATCTGGAACGCAGGGCTAGCAACACCTCCTTCCATCTTGTGGCTGTGGAAGGCTCACAGCAATCACAGACCAGACTCCCCAGCAACCACCTTCATCCTTCAGGGGTAACAGCTTTCACCTAATTTTACAAGGGCAGCTAGTGGTATAGCGATCTTTTAATTGAAGTGATTTATAGGGAAACTGAACTTTTTTCAGAGACAAACTTGACTTAGGCACTTCTACAAAATGTCAGTGGTTCTACAGAAAATAATCAATTACAAAACAGAATCAAATTTGGGGAGGGAGGAGAGACAGTTGTCAGCTTTGCTTGACGGAAGGGGTCAGAGTGCCTCGAGGTCTTCCAGATCAATCAATTAATCAATAAACATTTGTTAAGGGCCTACTAGGTCAGGCTGCTAAGCTACTGACCTTCCACTTGGGATTCTGTCGTGTTCCTCCCTAGCTAGAGGCAGCTGCGGAAGGGAGGGGCCTGAAAATTGCCACGTCAGAGCAGATAAGAGGCTCCCAGGCTCTGAGCAGAGGCTGTGCCCTCTCTCTCCTGACCTTGCAATCTGAGCCCTCTGAAGGCTGAGCCCTGAGCCCTGAGCCCTGGCACCAACATAAAGCTTGGCACCAAGGTTCTAAGTTCACTCTCTTCATCCCTTTAGGTTGGAATTCTACAGGTGTCCATTAAAAGTCTGTTTACAACACACACCAGGCTCCCTGATGAGCACAGGGGGGAACCACTAAATTAAAAAACAAAGTAAAACAAAACAAAAACAGTCCAGACCTCAAGGGGCTTACTGTGGAAGGTGAGTTGATTAAACTACAAGTAAACTGAGTTAGGCACTCCCAGGTGAGGAGATTGCTTCCACCAAAGAAAGTTGGTATCTTCTCTGTAATTAAAGAGAGTGACTCACTCTTTGATGGGCAAAGAGAGGAAGGCAAACAGTCAATACATGTTTATTAAGTACCTACTATGTGCCAGGCACTGAGCTAAGCCTGAAGATACAAAGAAAGCAAAAGACAATTTCTGCCTGTGACGAGCACAAAGTCTAATGGGGGAAATATGCAAAGAACTTGTACAAACAAGATACAGACAGGATAAATTGGAAATAAACAGCAGAAGGAAGGGGCTAGAATTAAGAAGGATGGCAAAGGCTCCTTGTAGAAGGTGGCATTTGAACTGGAACTTGACCAAAGCCAGGGCAGAGATAAGGAGGGATGCATTCCAGGAATGTTACAAAAGCAGGAGAAATGCTCAGAGCTGAGAGGTGAGGTCTTATTGGAGGAATAGCCCGGAGATTCAGATACTGGATAAAGAATACATATTTGGGCTCAGATTCTTATAATCTAGCCAATAGCTCGCTAACATTCAGACTCCTTAAGAGTCTGCCTAATATGGCAGATCTTTAACGAACCTTGTCTTTGACTGAAAGAAGGCTTGGGTCAAATTCTTTCGGGCAGGACCCACGTGTTGTGATTTTGGGGTCCCAGCACCCCTAAGCCCCTAGGCCTCAACATTTTGGTGGCCCTTACAGGGAAACTGTCTAACCCCAAGTTCTTCTCCAGCCAGGACTGGAAGGATCAAGAAATATTCTATCACCCATCAAAGAGGGTAACTACAATCCCTCCAGGGACTGTAGTAACTTCTGTCTTTGGGCTGGCATTTATCATCTGGCTGGCAAGGAAGCTAAAGAAAGGCAAGAAGTCTCCCAAAAGGCCTGACGTATACTAAGTTGCTACTTGTTAGAGAAAAATTGAAAAACTGTCAAGCCCTTCAACCAACTTTGTGAAAAAGGACTAGAAGTTTTGGGTGGATTCATCCACACTGGAAGATGACATCGGCGGTGTTTTTCTCCATAGCAATGAATTATCCCCACTGTGTCCCTTTTGATGTATACTATTTTCTTCAGTTGTTATCTGCAGCCATGACCCATAGGTTTTTTACCTGGTATATTTTTGTGCCTATGTATCTATTAAAAAATCATTTTGGATTTCAAGAAGAAGGAATTATTTTGAAAAATAAAGACATCCAACTATGGCCCAATGCCAATTCTGCATTGCAAATACAATAAAATGCTGTTTTATAGCAAAAAAAAAGAAAAAGAATACA